GCCGTATTTAGGTCAAAAAAGGTTCACTTAACTGAAACTGAATCGCTTGACAACATAAAAATGCGGAAGAGGATAAATCGCGAAGTCAAAGTAAGCTAATTTTCTTAAAACCATTATTCATTCTAATTCCAACTACACTGAGCTAATAATTTGTTGATAATATTTGCTGTTCTGCTGAAATATAGTTGCAATGGCACTTGAGTCTCCATAGTGTTAACGGAGTGGCACTGGTGGCATTCATTGATTCAATCAATATCGATCGATGTTGCCTTGGAAATTACTACGCATATGTTAATTTTTATCTCGTTTCACCAGTAATTTAGTCTTCAACTTAAATGCCTCCGTGGCTGAACGGTTACCATGCCAGACTGCCACACAGAGGTCCCAGGTTCGAATCCCGGGTCGGGAGAAATATCTGTAAAGCCTACATTTATTTCTCTTGTGAGTTTGTACCCGCGACACAGGATTTCCCTAATGCGGGGCTATGTTGAGTGTGTGTGTATGCGTTCAAATTAAATATATGTAGTGTTTTTTTTAATGGGACAGTATGGGGAAATCCGCAACCATAGAAGATACAAGGAAACTGTTTTAGGAACCATTTAGTTTTTGTGTGAAAACAATTTTGGTACAGTAAATTTTTTGGTCAAGCGTGAGTTGTCCATAAAAATAAATAATGATGATCTATTTAATCAAAATTTTTTTAGTGCTCATCAATTCAATTTTATGAAATGATCCTTACATAAAAAATTTTTTTGGTCAAGCGTGAGTTGTTCATAAAAATAAATAATGATGATCTATTTGATCAAAATATTTTTAGTGCTGATCAACTCAGTTTTATGAAATGATCCTTACATAAAACTGAGCTGATCAGGACTAAAAAAATTCTAATCGATTTCATTTATTTTTATGGACAACTCACGCTTGACCAAACAATTTTTTAAGTAAGGATCATTTCATAAAACTGAGTTGATCAGCACTAAAAAAACTTTTGATCAAATAGATCAACACCAAAATTGTTTTCACACAAAAAGACTTAATAGTTACCAAGACAGTTTCCTTGCATCGTCTGTGGTTTCAGATTTCCTCATACTGTCCCATTAAAAAAATACCCCGTATACAATATTTGTAAACTACACCATCAACTAGTCATTGAAGAGCAGAATAACAAAAAATTGCAATGGTAGTTGAGTAGTAGCTCGAGGGATAGCCACTGACAAGCCACTACTCTTAACTTTTAGCAGAATACCAAACGTACAAAATCCTGCCATTGATTTGAACTTGGCATACTTAGGGTTCGGACAGTTATTATCTAAAAAAGATATAGAGACAATATAGATTTTAATACTTTCGTGACTATTTACTAAATGATTATCACTAATTACCTACTACTACTAATTATCAAAAAATTATACACAGTGGTAAGAAAGATTTCTTACCACTGTGTATGATTCATTATTATTCCCCTGATATTTCGGAACGGCAGAAGACAGCTTTTAAGAATAGACATATCTGTCTACCCCATGGAGTATGTAACTAGAAATAGAGACCAAATAAGGGCCATCATCAGGCAAACCGGCCTTATATCACTTTTAAGTATCAACTCTCGTTTACGCTGAAATTACAATTTAGAAAACTGAAATAGTACAGGCAATGCCAGCAACTGACCTGTGTGTAGGTCTCCATACATACTCCAAAAATAGTCTGTATTTATTGTAATAAAGATAATATCTCTAACTATGGGGGACTGTACCATACGGTAATGGGAACAGCAAAACATCTAATTATAAAACAACAGGAATCAATCACATTTCATCGGCAATTAAAAATGTAATTTTTCCAGTTTCGACTATTATAGCAAAGCTCAAGTTAAACTGGTCGATTTGAAGTAAAACAATTGACGACACCCGTCAATTGTTTCGAACTCGAGTTGGCCAATCGGAGCGCAGTTGTCACCGTGATGATTTGGCAGAATAGTTTTCAAAGAAATTAAATGACATTTCGTCTCTATTTTCTGGTTATATACTCGATGGTCTACCCACTTTCCCAAAGATATACCTCTAAAACCGTTTAGCAAGGTAGGAAGGTGGCTATTAGGTAATTACTACCTTTTATGATCACCAGAATACTTTTAAACGCATATAAGCGGTACCTAACGTATAGCAATTTAATAATATCCTACATAACGTTTTACGTCCTAGCCGCAATTGCATCATGTGCAATAGCAAATTTAATGATTCTGTTAGTATTTCTTCCTATAGATTACATTACATAAATATTAGACAACATCACATACGTTGCTCTGAACTCAAAGTAAATAAATAAGTCAATTGTGTTATGGAAAGCGGAAACAATGGCGGTACCACAAACACCCAGGCCCGAGACAATATAGTAAAGTAGGTTTTCTTCATTGACCCGGCCGGGGATCGAACCCGGGACCTCAAGAGATGGCGATGTCATGAAAACCGGTATGCCAGTCACTCGACCACGGTGGTCATAGAGACATGTACTATATTTTTGTTATAAAAGAATTCTCTAGCTCTTCTAGAAACGAGATTGATTAATATGTTTTTTCAATTTAAGATAGCCTTATGTCTGTCCGGGATATCTCTTGATGGAAAGTGAAAATGTGAACAAGATTCGTACACGCTTACCTAGAAGACGCCTTTTTATCCTGACCTTTAAAAATATCTAAGCACCATACGGGAGATACAGAATACGGCAAAGTTTCATTCATTGTAAAACCCTGAGAAGTTCTTGTACAAATGTTTCATTAAAGTAATTGCTCAATTTCTAAACTGAGATTTTGGTTCACGTTAATTATAAATGTAATGTAATGATATACTTGTAACAACATGTAAATCATTATATTTATACATAAGTCAGAGAAGCCTGCGTAATGGTTATAAAATTCAATAGATTATTCATCTCGCACCAGTTTAGATGGCGTAAATGACTTGTATTGTTCTGAAAGTGTATTTGACGAGAATATTTCTATGAAAGATAAATTGAAATTAAAATTTAAACCTTATGCAAATGCACAGATCTCTACTTCTATAAATGTTATGTGTTGTTATTATTACGTTTTAATTTGTGTAAGTGCAATGTGGATCAAGTACGTATTCTGTTGCGCCCTGAATTAATTATTATCTTACAGCTCTTCCCGTAACCCGAATGTTGCCTGGAAGAGATTGCTATCTAATAATAAGGCCGCCCGTTGTACCTGTGTTTTTTATTTTTTACTTTCTTTGAATTATTAGATAGATGGATAAGACGTTTATTCAGCACTAATACAATATTATGTATTTTTCCCAGTGTGCAATAAAGAATATTTGTGTTTTACGAGATTTCCCATCCTGTCCCTTATTTTGCTGACACTTTTTTACGACAACCTTTTGTTTATAAAAATAAATATCTAGCCTGTACACGTCATTGGTTGACAAGAACATGCAAACTGCGGCCTTTTTTGTTTGCAGTTGCATGCACGCAAAATGTATCCTTAATATGTCGCCTTCGCTGATAGTATCATACTTCTAAAATCAATTGACATTGGCACAGCAAGGATGGAAGCGAATTTTTGTAACGAAATTGTCCATAGCATAATACACTTTATGTTAATTTTGTGACGTACAAACTCAATACGATACGCTAGATGCGGGAATTCCCGAGTCTGAGCGATAATTCTCCGGAAGACGCGCGATCTCTTTTTTGCCTCGTATCAAATTTGTACATTACACAATTGATATAAAATTAATAATGCTATGATTACAAAAAATTAGTTTCAATTCCATTCCGCTGCAATGTAAATTGCGCCTTGAAGTTGATTTTTGCTTTTTGTTGATTTGATGTTGGCAGTAATAAAATTGTACTCTCTTCCATTCCGTTGTATTGTGACAGTGGATATTCTTGTTAGAGCGTCGCTTACAGTTTACTTTTACTGCATTTGTTTCAGGATAATCATGTTGATGAAATCTTATATCCGCGTACATGTTTACGCGTTAGGAGTTGTAAGATTCTCACATTCAGTGCGGCTATAGTTAGGGACAAATGGTTCTGATTCCCAGCAAAACTATGCTTTCTTTGTAATTGTCACCTTTCTGTTCCTTCAGCTTCTACGTTTTTATCTACGAAAAGTGGGGAAACTTCGCATTCTTTTATAAGTAACAGTCCTTGTGAAGTCATTCGTCCAGGGAAGTACTGCCGTCTACCTATTTCTGCCGCCAAGCAGTAATGTGAGCATTATGCGTTCCTGTTTTGAAGGTGAAATTACAGACACATGAGTCAACTTATGTCTCAGGGTGACGGGCAATGTGGCAGGGTCTCTTAGGTCTTTGCCATTTAAAGCTCTGAGTGGCATTACAGCTACATTACATACCACTTTACATTACAGGTACAGGCATGTCGCTTACCACCAGGCGCACGACCATTTCGACCCGTCACACAGTGTTGTTAAAAAAATGTTTTTAAGTATTTTTGGGCTAAAGTCTGGCGAATGTGTACTTATTTCAATGATTATTTTTTGCTTTGATTACTTGAAAGTCTAAGTTAGACTCACCAAGAACGCTTTCTTTGTGATTAGATACAGTTCGTATCTTTAGTCCATTTCAAAAAGGAAAAGTTTCTCTTTCAGCTATTTTCTTTTATTCTGTATTTTTAGACACGGATCCAAAAGGAATGAGCGTATTTCAATGTTTATTTTTTGCATGAAAGACGATCTGAGATAGTCAGTCTCGACCAACGCTCACTAAAATTGCTATCATCATTTTAATAACGGTTTGCACTATGGACGCTGGTTGAGGAGGTTCCGGGTTTGTTTCGCGGTAGGACCAATTTGGATCCAAAAACAAATTGAACTTTACTAAATTTGTTCTTGACTGGGAGTTCTAAGCAGTGCCAAAGAGAGAATTCTGTTGCTTTGGTACAGGGAATAGACCAGATGATAGGCGAGGTTATCTGGCACATTATTAATTATACTTGATTTATAAGGCCTTAATAACACTTACCATGCCTCTTATGCGTATAGGGATCAGTGACATCACTCTCACGGTAGATGACGGAATGGACCCGCGTCCTGGTGCCGTTCGGAGGGAAGTACCGCCGTGCGTGTTCCACGTAATAGGACCCGTCGTGCGCTATTATCTTCCCCTCGAACACACCGTCCGTCACCGAACCGAATACTGCAGATTGTGAATCATCTGTGGAACAAAAACATTGTATTAACAGATTGTGGATGTTATAAAACCTATAAAACTTACAATAGACTAGAAAGAACTCACAATTTTGTGCTAAGGAATATTTTTTTTACGTAAAGGAGGCAAACGAGCAGACAAGCCATTTGACGGCAGGTGGTCATTGTCGCCCATGGACATTTGCAACATCAGATGAGCTGCCTATGCCAGCCTTTGAGAGCCCTGTAAACACGCTTTTTGAAGAAACCCATGTCATAACGCAAAGGAAATACACCTGGAGGAAGATCATTCCACATCTTGCAGGTTCGAGGAAGGAACGACCGAGATGTCCGCGTGGTCTTACATTGCCAGGCATCTAAGATGTGGGGATGGACTCTACTCCTTTGCGATGGTACAAACAAGACACTAGTTCGAAAAGTTCCTCAGAGCACTTCCCATTATAAACATATTAGTCAATATCACGTAGGTTACGTTGCTCCGATCCCAAAATAAGTAACTAAAGCACTTGTGTTATGGATATCGGAAACAACGACGGTAACACAAACACCCAGAAAATAATATAGAAAAAATAGTTTTTCTACATTGACCTAGCCGGGGATCGAACTCGTGACCTCAGAGACGGCGACACCACAAAAACCGGTGTGCAAGACACTCGATCACGGAGGTCGTCAAAAAAAGAAAAGCGAAGAATATCAAACATTGAATTGTTTAATCCTGCGAAATTACAGGAACGCAAATTCAGTGAAAAGTGGGTGCTTATATAAGGAAGTGTACAAAGAACGCAAAATATACACACATCAAAAGTGTCTAGGGATCAAGTACGTTTAAGAGTATTGCTGCAATTAGGGTTAATTATATTAACTTTTTTGTATCGCTATTGATACTTTTTAGTGAGTTTTAACATTTAAATAAGGAATATTGTTTAAAATTCGATAATAAGAAGAAAATCGATTGTCAATGTGGTTTTGTATAAAAATGAGTTATAGCGTTTTGACAAAATCATTACAATATCTGCATCGGAACCGAAACAATTTACATTATTATGGAGAGACGACATCATTTAACCCGAGAAGTGGTTCCAGGCAACGTGCTGTGGCTTTCACTCTTAACACTACACAGAGCGTCATAAGTCGCCTCTGGACGCGCTAACGCATGACGGGGAGCGTGGCCGAGCGACATGGAGGACGATCTCGCATCACGACTCGCAGACAGGACCGGTATATCCAAAATACTGCTCGACGGAATCGTACCATGACCGCCATGATGTTGGTTACGAGGCTCCACAGCTCCTCAGGCTTGCTAATAAGCGATCAAACAATCCGAAATCGTTTACGTGAAGTGGATCTGCGATCCCGAAGGCCGCTCAGAGTTCCACCTATTGCACCCTGCAATCGCAGGACCCGTTTACGATGGGCTCGCGAACACAGAAACTGGGAGGAAGAAGACTGGCGCTATGTGTGCTTTTCGGATGAATCCCGCTTCGGTATGAGACCGGATACAAGACGTACTCGAGTTTGGAGAACATCTGGACGTCATGAACGTTTGAGATATTGTCAGGAAGATCATCCATATGGTGGGGGAACAATAATGATATGGGCCGGTATTTGGATCGGCGGAAGAACCGATCTCATTTGGATCAGGGGTAACCTCAATGCTCAAGTTTACGCAGAGAGGATTGTTTCAGATGTTATCATCCCTTTGCGAGGCCAGTTGGGTGATTCATTTCAACTAATGCACGACAACACACGTCCACACACGGCTAGAGTCGTAACACGCATTCTTGCCGAAGCTCGTATCAACGTTCTGCCGTGGCCTGCTCAATCGCCAGACCTCAATCCAATTGAGCACGCATGGGATATGCTTCAAAGAAGAGCTGTGCCGAGTATACATACCGTACATACTCTACAACAATATTTTGACTTGTTACAAAACACATGGGCAGCCATTCCTCAAAGTGATTTTGATGAACTCATCTTAAGCATGCCAAATCGCTGTAATTGTGTGATTCGTGTTAATGGTGGAAATACAGATTATTAATTTTCTTATCTTTACAATAACAATGAGCAAAATCATCATTTTCGCCATTTTTTTGTCATTTAATTGACGCCGTTAATTTGAGTTTTTTCCCACAATTTGCAAAAACATCAATTTTAGTTTATTTTAATTAAATATAGGGGTAAGCGGTTAAATAAAACATAAGCATTAAAGTAAGAAGTCGTCCTGGAAGACTGGATTTGGTAAATATTGCTTAAATAATTTTTATTTCAAAAATATTCACTTGATCCCTAGACACTTTTGATGTGTGTATTTATTCGTTATCTACGTTACATTTATTTCTGAGAAAAACAATCGAGTCGACCAACATAACAGTTAGGTTTGGATGAGTAAGCTGTAGCGTTAATTAAACAGTCATAACTTATGATGTCATCTACGAGTAAATACACAAAAACGAATGCAATTTTGTTATTGTTAACAGTTTCCTTGAGTATTATTTAAATTTTAAAGCAGTAAAATAAACCTAACTTAATAAATATGTCCGATTGCTTGGTAAGCTATATTTTTTAGTTTTAAAATGCTAAATTTTAAAAAAAAACATGCTAATTTAGAAAACACCAATTCGAAAAAAGAAAAACTTCCAAGCTCAATTTACATTGTTGCGGAACGAAATATAAGCGAATTTTTATAACTATAGCAAAATGAACTTAATGTCAATTGTGTAACGTACAAACTACATACGAGCTGAAAAACAGGTCGCCATTCTTACGAAGAATTTTCGCGCAGTCTAGGGAATTCCTGCAGCTCCCGTATCGTATCTAGTTTGTGCTTTTTTTTATAGTACTAAGTGACGGGACGAACAAGTCGTGTGCCTGGTGGTAAACGACACGACTGTCCCTAACAGTTGCAGTGCCACTCAGAGCTTTAAATTGCAAAGATCTGAGGGGCACTGTCACTGCGCCCGTCACCCTGGGACATAAGTTGACAAGTCCCATGTGCCTGTAATTTCACCAGTACGTTCAACTATTGACATAAAGTGCATACCAAGTAACGTCACGAACAAGGTGTGTCGCTTACCACCTGGCGCAGTTAAGCGACACGCCTGTCCGTAACAGTTGCAACACTCCTCAGGACTTTAAATCGCAATGATCTGAAGACCACTGCCTTTGTAATTTCACCGGAACGTAATATTGCTTAATGCTTATATTACTGCTTGGCTGCTAAATAGGTAAGCTGGCAGTACCTCCATAGACGAACTCTTTGACAAAGACCTTCACAGTTACTTAACTAGCTTACTGAAGAATCAGTTACTAATTGCAACGCATTCTTTAAATAAGATTATATTGAATTTATGGTGTCTTCATCACGATCAGTTCAATTGATAATACATTATCATACGTATGTCTTGCATCTTAGAGTACATAATCTTAAGTTATCGATTAATCAGTACATACAAGCTATATTCAATTAAGTTGTGGTGCCAGTCGGATATTACAGGAGCGAATTAATGTAGTTTGATGACTCACGTCACTTGCAGTTGACAGGGGAGCGTGTAATGGTACAGTGTAGGCAATAAGCGTTGCAATTAGAGCCGTTAACCTGTATGTGAGGGCCGTACTATAAATCTGAACGCGCACTATGCTGTACTTCTAATGTTTATGTCGTACCACTAGACATTTTGGTACTTAATATGGGTAGTAATACAAGCTCCAAAAAGCAAATTCTAAATATGTACATTATTGCGTTATTTACTAAGCTGTCGCAAAACTTTTGTGCAAATAACATTCCGGATACAACCGAATGAAAAACCTACTGAAAGTTCCGAAAAATCTTACGGACGTAATAAATTAGTATTTATTAACTGCCTCCGTGGCCGAAGTCCCAGGACTGAGGTGCCAGGTTCGATTCCTGGGCCGGGAGAAATATTTGTATGACCTACATTTATTTCTCTCGTGAGTTTGGGTGTAATTTGTGGTTGTCTATGTGTGTGTCCATGGCACCCGCGACACAGGGTTTCCCTAGTGCGGGGCTATGTTGAGTGTGTGCGTTATTATTATTATTATTACGTCCTCAAGATTTTTGGACCTTTACTACTACCAATTTAATTTATATTTTCGGTAAAATATAAATTAAATTGGTAGAGTAGTCTCTACCAATTTAATTTGTATTTGACCGCACACTATTGTTACACATTTTTACCTTAAATCACCTACTATACATTTAAAAGCGACCTTATACATTTCATAAATAAGGCGCTTGTTAAAATACTATTATGAATACTACACGAGTATACAAGCGTTTTTAGGTTTTCTTTCGGAAGTTGAGTATTATAACAGTTTTTTTCGTATAATTGAGATTTGAATAAGTTCTTGATTATTTACTAAATATGATTAATCATGTCGGTATATTCTGTGTTCATTTCTCAGTAACTCATTTTAACGCAATTTAGTATTACAATTAGCGTTAGGTCGCAGCAAAGTCCCTTGTTTTTTGGAACCTTTATTATTCCCAGTTATTATTAATGGTGTGTTTTAATTTATAGAGTGAATTTGGATGGAAACGCTGGGGAAAGGTCGACTTAGGCGTACATATCTCGACCGGATAGTGGATGTACTTGAAAAGGTCAGGTAACATTACAAAAATAAACTGGCGTGTGAGAAAAGAATGATGCGAATCGAGACGCGAAAGCGGTAGTTTTGAAGCGTATTGGCTGGAGGTCTATTGTATCTGCCTACACCAGTGGGAGACAGACGTGACAATGTGTAATTATGTAATGTATATTTATTTCCCGTACCAGTGCAAGCAGGGAGCGTTGAATGAATTGCATAATTTGGCAATAACACATGCCATAGGTACTTCTTACATTATGGTAATGTTCCTTGTGAAAGAGTTCGTCTAGGGAAGTATTCGCTTACCTATTTCTGTAGGAGTAGCACGACAGAGCGCGACTAGCGCGAGAGCGACATAAAGTGCGAGATACTGCTATCCTTGCGTAGAGATCTCGCGATGTCGCTTTCGCGTAAGTCGCGCCTTGTCGTGCTAGCTCTACTGCCGCCAAGCAGTTATGTGACCATTACTGCGTTTTGGAAGGGTAAGGGTGCTGGTGAAATTACAGGCACGTGGGACTTTTCAACTTATGTCTTAGGATGACGGGCGCACTGGTAATGCCCCTCAGATCTTTGCGATTTAAAGCTCTGAGTGGCTAAGTCAATATGATAATATTTTAAACACAGATCATGTCGCAAATTAGTCACACGATGCAAAGTATGTAAAAGCAGATTCCTTCAGTCTAAATCAACATCCCTTACAGAATAAGGGATGTTGATTTAGACTGAAGGAATCTAATATATCTTATCCTTGGTATAAACTATAAAGCCACATGTGATCATACGTCAAAGGCGCTTTTATAACATGAATGACATAAAAATGATACGAACTACATGAAACAAAAAAAATATATACACGTATACACAATTTTGAAACACTCCTATTCAAGCATGAAAAAATCTTAAGGATTTCTTCGTTCGTAGAATCTTTCTTCTTCTTTCTTTCTCTCTCCTAAAACGTTTTTTTTTATGATACCAAGTGACATGACGAACAAAGTCGTGCGCTGATGGTAAGCTACATTGCCTGTCCATAACAGCTGCAGTGCCACTCAGAGCTTTAAATCGCAAAGATTTGAGGCTGCCACTGCGCCCGTCGCCGTGAGACAAAAGTTGACAAGTCCCATGAGCCTGTAATTTCACCAGCGCCCTTACCCTTCATAACCGGAACACAGTAACGCTGACATTACCACTTGGCGGCGGAAATAAACAAGAATAAGAAAACAGTACTTCTCTGGACGAACTCTTTCACAAGGAGCTACTAAAGTTACGAATTTGTAAAGGATTTTTTTTTGTATGAAATTGTAATTTAATTTTTTTATAATAATAATAACGATTGATTTCAGGCACTTGGCCCATAGTGGCTAGTGGTAGCGTTATTTTTATTGTAAAAGACGAGTGACGTGCGCATGCTGGCGTATTTGTTATACGTCGTAGTTTTAGGAGTAATATTTAATAAGTTCATGAAGTTACATTTAGTTGTCAAGTTTTATCGAAATCCATTACCGGAAAACCGGATTCATTTCCTAGTTTGCCACCCGTATTAATAGCAATATTTTCTTCAAATTTAAATGAGACCAATACTGAGGTACCCTCTTTGTAACAAAAAAAGAATCATCAAAATCGGTTCATAAATAATCGCGTAACGCATACATACAAAAAAAAAGAAAAAATACAGTCGAATTGAGAACCTGTTCCTTTTTGGAAGTCGGTTAAAAATACATTCGTTTTTATTTCGAATGTTATTTAAAAATATGTTTTGTAACGAGTTCTTAAGTTTTCGCGTTTGTTACACATAGGAAATGAGACTGATTTTCCTGGATTTAAATCGGGTATATTTGTTTTTTCACACCGTGACCATGGGTCCTGTAAAGGGTCCGAAACTTTGGTTTGTTTGAAAAAAACAAATATACGCGATTAAAATCCGAAAAAATGGTTTCATTTACTAAAATAATTTGTAAGTTTCCCAAAAATATAACATTTCCAATTTGGTCACTTTATTATTAAGAGTGTGATCCATTGACAATGTGTTTTAAAATGTAATATTGTGATATTTATAATATAATATGAATTATACTATTATACTGTATAATAAATACAATAACTGTGAGGAGCCATTTTCCTTTATAATATTATGACGTCATTCACCTTGATTCTTTGCCACACAGGGCCACTGGATTTTCGTAACCGCAATATCGTCTGATTAACGGGCTGGTGGCCCGTAGCCTTTTTCCCTTTTATGAACAATGCGATACAACAAATGTACATTACGACTTAAAAAAATAATTTACTTACATTTTTGAATTTGAATTATGCCGAGTCATAATAACGAAAAAAAATTAAATGTAATGGCAAACCGAGTTTTTGCGATAAGCTAATTATCTAGTCTCCGAAATAAATCAAGGGGAAAAAATCCGTTTTACTCTCTCAGTAAATAACTAATGAGCAAGGAAATGTATTTTCATTTTAATCCGTAGCGTTCAAAATAAATTTATTGCTTTTCTGTTAATTCACGTGTCAAGGTGAATAAATATTCTGCGAGTTTATTGCGATTTTAAAGTTAATTACTATACAACAACTAGTCGATTTAATTATAATAAAGCCGTGGTAGCCTAATGGTTTGACCTACCGCCTCTCAAGCAGAAACTGTAGGTTCGAATCCTGACTCGCACCTCCGAGTTTCTCGGAATTTACATGCCAAATTTAATTCGAAATTGGACGTAGTTAAACATAAAGGATCCAGTGCACATCCAGTCGCTTTCGAGATAAGGCAGTTTGGAGTTTAAAAGTGTTTCTCACTCTTGTTTTATTTTCAAAACTTATAATGTCATGTAACTCCAGAGATATTTATTTATATCTTGGATGTTTTTGCTGATATAAGAGGTTAGACTTTAGGAACCGTTTGGTACATTTAACTCATTATTTGATAATTTTGTGTTTTAGATTCTTTTTGCATAACTACGTCCAAAGCACCATGAGCTTTTCGATGAGCATTGAAAACACGTGATGAAACCATCGGGAAACGTGTGAAGTCCCCAACCCGCATTGGGCCATTTCGTGGCGGACTATGGCCTAAACCCTCGCCTGAGAGGGGTCCCGTGCCCAGCAGTAGGACGTATAAATGGGTTGATGATAATGAACAACTAGTCATTAAATGTCAGATTTGAAAACAAAAGGTTACATTTTAATTTCAAACATACAATCACTAAATTTATTGGTTGTACTCGTAATTACATGGACATGTGCTACGCTATTTACACTATGGACCATTTGACGCATTCATTGTCCTGATGTACTATATAGGAACAATGCTTTTCGTGAAACAACAAGGTAGTATATTAACGCGCGACGCAGCGAGTGACAAGCCGATACGAGAATGGCGTAAGAAACAAAGCCTGGTCGAAAATATTGATAGCAGCCATTACTCCACGTTCACCCAGCCTCATCGCTAGCTGGTTCTGGCTTCCATATTTATTTCACAGTGTGAGACGTGTGAAAACGGTTTCACTTATTGATGACGTCAAATGGAAAGAAATTTCCAGAATACTTGTTGTTTCTAGTTCTGTTAGACTATCGTAACAATTATAAATACGTGTTGCATATAATACTTCTTAATTAAGACGGAATGGTTATATTGATATGATAAATTAGGTCAATTTTGATATAATCATTGAGCTAGTGAAATCTGCAAGTGTCTTAAATTCTCAACGAGAATACTCCACGCATTATGAAATTAAAAATATAAATTACAACATTTGTACTTAGACTCCTGCCGACATTATAAAATTACGAGGGTTGCGAATGCTTTTCGCGCAAACCGCAAACCCGAAAATGTTTTCAATGGTGGAAAAATTCGCGTACATTTTCTCATGTCAAGAGCGGGGCCACAGGGCGCGTCGAACTACCTATTTTATTTTCGAGTAAATTTTTTACGTGTAAATACAGGTAAACTCTCCGCCATAGACACACGTAACATACCCGTCGTACCAAATTTAAATTTGTATGCACTGTTTACATTACTTTTATGGAGTTCGTATGCCCATAAAATGTTGGGAAACATAAACAAGGCGTTCAAGCTGACGGTATAAACTCATCAGCGTAAATAAGGTTTGCTCCTGCTCTCATGAAAGATTGATCAACGGATAAAGCGAGTGCCTTCAGAGACTAAAGCTAATTTTGTTGGATTTCTCATGGCTGTAATATAATTCTGGCTAGACAACAGAGGTGCCTCGTGTTGAAAAGTTGAGCTCTGCAGAGCTTAAGATAAAAGGAAAATGCCAAATGTACCGTAGCTTTCGAATGGAAACATTAAGAATGCCTTCAGAGTTACTACGAATGCAAATGTTGAGTATAGTGGGGCCATGCATGCAAAAACGTCCCTGGCAGTTCGTGGTAAGTGCATCGCGGCGGTAAGTAGGGCGACGAACTGCGATCGATGCGCACTGCCCTCACAAGTCTATTCATTCACACGGTTCCAAACTTTCGCTATCAAAACACCCACTGGACCAACAAAGCGCGCTCGCAACTACTTGCTCCAATTACAGTCATTAACTTGATGGTCAATTAGCAAATTGATTGCGACCCAACCCAAATGTGCTTAATTCTCAAGCTAAATGTTTTTTTCTGTCGACATAAATCGGAGACTCGGTTAATCCCAAACTCATTTAAAAAGTTTTTCCACGACAAAATAAACCGATCTAAAGTAGACGAGGTTAAGTGAAAGCTCGCAACTTTTTTGTTTCACAAAGACAAAATTGTTGGAAACTTCTTGCGAAAATTTGATTAACATTTCAGAACCAGGAATGTTAGGAATATTTTCTACAAAGAAATTATTTACATTGCGTTCGTGAGGTAAGCAGGGTAGCGGAAAGGTGGATGGCGGCCGCACCTCCGCCTCCGCTCGGCATTAAAAGTCGAGTGCTCACCGAAAGCTCCCAATTAGCTAGGATTTTGTCGCCAAACCGTCAGTAATTGCGAAAAGAAATGTTTAGTGCTCTTCATGAATTAATAGTACTTAAAATCAAGAGACATCCGCAACGGTAGCGGGAGGCTGAACGAGGCTCGAACGTTTAGCTTCAGTTTGATTAAAGAAAAACACAACCGCTGCTGGCGACATACGGGGCGAGGACTTATTAAATTTTCGCTTCAAGCGATGGCAAACAATAGCGCTCTATCTTGTAGATAACGGCGGCGCGGTCTCGCCTACCCGTGCACAATAGAAGCAGCTCCCGAGTTGCCAGTCCCCTACAAACTTTGCGGTTGTCTCGGCGTTCCAACATCAAGTGCTTCCTTCATCGTCTATTTCAATTAACGAGATGTTGTTATAATCATATGAGTACTGAAACAAAACTTACCGGCCAGATCGCCGTGGTATATGCGCGACGTGTCGACGTCATGGAGTTCTCCTTTTGAGCCTTCAACCTGTAAAAGATTAACCGATTAAGTTGCCTGGCATGCCAAAACATGACATGTTTATGGAATGTTAGTCTTTTGAGAACTGATACTACTGGTTCAGATACCACAAATCGTTAATTCGAATTGTGAATCTCTGATGATCATATTCTGTCTATTTTCTGTACTTATAAAATAAAGAATTCTTTGTTTAGAAAGCGAAGTGATGTTTGTTGCGACAATCTCACATATATACCTTGAAATCCTCGCTAAAAGCTGACAGGTCTCGTCGCAAGCGCAGCTTAAAATGCTTGCCGTGCGCGCGAAAGCTGAATCGCAAGTTATCGCCGTCCAGTGAGCGTTTGTACCGCATGTGCTGTAGGTGTACCTCGTCCGCGTCATAGTCCAGCGGCTCGTAGTGTTCCACGTAGTGGTCCAGGCGACGCCGGTGTGCTAGAACAAAGAGTTAAATAATTTATTTTAGTTTTATTATAAAAAGTAAGACACGATTTTATTTACTTTGTGTACAAGCCATTCTAAATCGAATAATTCATAAATTGTGTTGATAATGTGTCGATGTAAATAAAATATTTACAAAAGGTAAACGCGAATTCACAACAATAAAGCACCGATACACACTAGCGTGAGAGTGGCGGTAAATTTTAAAAAATCGGATGAAGCTAGTGAAAATGCGATTCAATTTCGAAGGATAATAAACAGGTCTGGCAATGAGCTGCGCTCGCATTTTTTATTCAAGTAGGGCAATTCGAACGGCACTAAATCTTAATTCGTCTCCGCCCGCCCGCGTTCCTGTGTCACCACTGCGCGCGCTCCGTAATGGTTTTCTACTCGATTGTTTTGATGCGATTGTGTTTCCAAAACAAGCCCATAAAGGAGATATCCTTCTTACTCGTATTGCATGTTTCGTAACATTATAATGGGACTAAGCGGAACCAAGACTCTGCTGCAGTGAAATTTAGAACACTCGAGATCCATAAATCTAATACAGATTCGTTCCACTTCTGAATCTGTTTTATAACCGTTCCGAACATCCAAATATAGCACCAGCGGTATAAATCTGAGTGTAATAGAGTTGTAAAGTTGTCGCTGTGATGCGTCCCTCGCCGATCGCCGCGACCGCGCTCTCTCCATTACTTGCTCCAACTCGACGAGTTTGATTAAACGACAGTTGAGAACCATTCGATTTCCTCACTCCACATTTTTCTGTAACGTTAATTATAAACTTTTGAGGGTCTCACAATGACGTTCAACTTGACGACAATGGGCGTAACTTCCAAACTCAACGGAGCGAAATTTTAAACAGTCGCCTTTTCGTGTTTCTGGAATAAAGGGAGGATTCAGTGGAGGAACGTGGTAAAATGGCTGAATCAAGTGCAGCAGAAATGAAGTCAAATAGAGCACAATGCGGAGGCAATGGCAATGCAAGTGTGTAACACGTGTCCGAGCTCTGTTGTTTCACATTTCAAAGGAAGCATAATGGTTCAGTGTGCTGTGTACACACGTTCAATTTCAAACGCGAACGGTCGTGCACGCGTCGAGCACTTTCAAACGAAAGCAAAAGCAAATAAAATCTAAAATAAATTTTAATTGGATTCGTGAATGCACTACGCAGAGAGAAACAATTCTTAAAAACATTTATAAAGAATAACTAGTCTTCAAGCGTCGAAAGTCTTCTAAATCATAAGGTAAATTTATAAAGGCGGCATTGGGAACCTTTAACCACATCTTCACATCATCAATCCCATAGAATCTAAAAACAAAGGCATTTCACCAGTGCTTTCTACCAGATATGTTAAAAGCCTCATCCACAAATTTAAAGTCGCTCAGCGTGCAATGGATAATGAAGTCACAGGCCAGAGAATTAGTGACAAAGTAAAATGCAGGTGGGCTGATGACCGATAGAGCAGAGTTGTTCTAGAGTGGCGACAACATCAAGGCAAACATAGCGAAGAATGCCCTGCGGAAAGATGGCCGGACGACCTGAGAGAGGTAACTGGCAGCGGTCGGATGAAGGCGACACAGGACCGGGAGAGTTGGCGTGCTCAGCGGTCGGCGTATATCTAGCAGTGGATGTGATGATTTAGTCAAATGAAATAACCATCTGGGTGTCAATTACCACGGTTAACCAGAATAATTGCTACAACGATCATTCAGGGTTCACAACCCTGAATACAGTTAGTAAAGAATTTAGTAAAAAAGCCAATTTCACGTTAATACTTTCAGGCAATAGAAATGGGATAAAGTGGTGAAAACAAACACGGTTGACAGAGTACATCGGGACATGTTAGACACAGCTGCAACTGAATGCAATCCGGATGCAAAGGGGCGTGGTACGTGCCGGATTTATTTTACGTCCCATCTCAAATTGATTCCCTTATTCAGCATGCGAATAAAATGCGCCACGTGTCTCCATTTGTATAGATCTAATAGTGAAACTTCTACGATAGGCGTTCATTGTATTACTAATGGACGTAACTCGTGTGATTGCATTTTGTTTACGCATTTATTTCCGCATTTCGTGTTCTCTGTTGTATTGAATATGTTATGATATATATGTTTTAAATTGGTGCTATGATGATGTGTCAGGATTATAGTAAGTAGAAGACTGTGGTCTCTGCCTACCCTGATGGGAAACAGGCGTGAAGTAAACTTATCATAATTGTAAGTAAGTCCATTACCGTTGCAAGTAAGAGAGATGTACACTTCCGATGTAAAGGATAAGACTAGACAACACCTTTTTAAGGTCGATACAACCTCAGCTTGAATTACAATTTTTCCTTACTAATACGGTTCATTTTGCTTAGGTCAAGCGGCAGAGACACTGACTTTATTTCTTTACAAACGAAATTAAAGCCATTTGAAAAATGTGTTATCGTCCAATGATATTATACTTTATCATATAGTATACGTGTTCCATTTAGTTCAGTTGATATAAAAAATCATTGGTATAATCATTGACTTACAATTATATGGACGTCGGGTCCGCGCTAAAAAGTGTCCGAACTTATAGGGCGTTAAAATCGTATACAGAGCGTCATTCACGCTCTAGTCTTCGTTTGTTCGACTGACAGCGAAGCAAGCAAAATTAGACTGTACTGCGATGACATTACAAATTAATTTCAACGTTTTAGCTGTTTCATATTCCTTTACATGTCACTACGTTTAAATAGGTTGACTTGGGACATTTTTTTCGTGGTTTTTGTATTAGACCCGTCGTCCATTTATTTGTATTAGTATAAGTCAATGGGTATAATACATACGTAAAGTATCTATTGAATACAGAGGTTTTCTTGTAAAATTTCGAGCCAAGATTGTTTTTTTTTCTATTGTGAGACTTTTTAGAATTGTGTTTTCACGCCACAGTAATCAGTATATGTACTCAATTTTACTATATCTTTTTTCCAAAGTTATTGATTCAACACCTTCACTGTTATGCGGAAACAATCAAATCCATTTGAGGTTGTATAGATACTTAAGGGAGTATCACACTTATTAAAATTAGCAAAAAAGACGTAGCACGTTTCACTTTCGCTCGGACCGTCGACGCGAAATGCTTGTCTTTTTCGCCCTTACTGCAGGATATAAAGCATCGGTAAGTGTGGTGACTCTCTTATGCACCTAATAATACCAATTAAAATGGATTTTAAGTGATAAATCTATTACTTTGGCTACACATTATACGGTGAGATATTCCGTTGCGAAAACATTTAAACCTTTTTAAATAAAATCGATTTTTCTTTACCAAATATTTATGTTTGTATGAGAATACGACTACGACTAAGAGAATACGACTAAGAGAGATCTTACTATATCATTTATCACCACAAGAGTCCTTTGACTTGTGTACCAGGGCAGCATGAACATGAAACAAGACATTTGTATTTGTGCAGTGGTACGAAGCTTTTTTGCTTCCCCCGTGTCACTAGGTCAGTGGGCCAGTTGCGCCCCGCTGTGCTCGTCAGGATATAGAGCTGTGATTTTTAGGGACCCCTTTCAGTGCTTATTTGGCAGTGTTGCCTAGTAAGATTGATGAAATAAATCAAATCAATATCATAAGAAAGACAAAAATAATTATGTTTACTATTACACAAGATCCCATTAATATCTATTGAAAATCAGAGACAACTGTCAGATTTAATATTGTGATTTCAACTGTTAAGAAACTAAAGGAATTGTTCACAACTTTTGACTTTATTCGAATTTCGTGCTTTTGTCCGTGCCTCCACAGATTGTACAATGCCCCTTTGTCCTTTTAGACGCACTGGGGGCCCTACTATGAGTTCTTAGAGCAATCCTATTTAAGCCTGTAAGTTGAATTGCCTGTCAAATTCGTATTATGACCTCACAAAAACAAATCATGTTCATGCAGTTTACGTTCCCCATTCGAAATCCGTTCATTTTTCTTTCGTAGCAAAATCGTATCATAACGTGACATTTGCCTAACAAATCTGTAAAAATTAGCAATTCAAAAAAAGTTCCTCCGTGACTACCTTTTTTCAGTATTTGTTACATTTTTTAAGAAATTTCGTTTAAGTTTTGTTATATTTTCAGTTTCATAATTGTTTGTTATCTTTTTAGACTATTTAACTAATTGTCAATAAATAAATACTATTAACTATTGAGCGTTTTTTGAAAATTTTAGTTTTTGGAAACTCAATCTTTAAAGTATTGTTGATAAATTATGGCATGAATGTTATTGCAATTTTTAAATGGAATTTTAATCATTTTAACAATTTTATTGACCGAAAATCGTAAAATAACTTTTAAATAGTGCCAAATTTGACTATAATGTGATCAATGAAAATGTACGAATACAAGATACGTTCCAATTATGTTATCAAATTACAAAGTCACCTTATTAATTTCAATGATAATGACTAAATATGACATGTAATTTTGTCGTACGACAAATTGTAAAGTATGGTTGAAAAGTTGCCGACATTACAAAACAACGTAATAAGTATAATTAATAATAAATAATAAAATTAATAAAAAAATATAATTATTCTCATTTTGAACACAATCAGTTAATAGTGCTTGAACGCTCCCAGGATAGTACATCTGTCTATTTCTTTCATATGATTTAGTATGTAGTTCCATCTCGCTCTTGTTAGATGTCAGCTAGCCAGCCAGAAACAATAATTAACGTTTAAAAAGTAAAATTCATCATCCTGCCATGCCATTCCCGTTCAACTTTGTGTAGGTCATGATACGAATTTAAGCAATTCAGTTTTACCACGTCAAGTGAATTGCATGGAACTTGGCTGGCTGGTTATGTATATTATAGCTCATAGTAGACCCCCAGTACCCCCTAAAACAACGGTGAAAATTGGTTTGTGGCTAAGTCACAAAAACTACTGAACTAGATCAGTTATCTAACATAATGTACAAAACGTCTGTCAAAATTTACGCTCTCCTCACACACACGCGCA